CTGTTCAATGTGGAGATGTTTTACTTGTCTTTGTTTTTACTGGTATTTAGGTTCATCTTGTTTGTGGAAAGAGCAATAAATTGGCTTATGTGTCTGAGCCAAGTACTTGTGTTTACTCCTTGACGTTTGAAACTCCTCTTGTGTGCCACCCTCACTCCCTTTTAGGTAAGATTTAGAAAATCATAGGGGTGTGGAACAACAGGCTCACTACACCAACTTCAGAATGTAAATTTTTAGTTTTAGGATCTCCGAGTTTGTAATTTGATAACAATGAGAATTACATGCAGTATGTAATGCTGTGCATTTTAAATCTCAATCAATATAATACATAGATATTTCTAAAAAAGAAGTTAATGGTAATATTCAACCAGTCTGATAGCTGCTGTTATTTTGAGCTGGTCATAGGAATCAATCCTGTAGTATCGGCACATTTACTTACATCACAAAAAGGGAGAGCCCAGTTAGAATTATTTTCAACAAAGAATAAAATATAACCTTATAGCTGAAAATGAGAGAAAAACTTGGTCAGTGGCATTCTCCAGAAATTTTAAATCTGTGAAGTGGAATTTAAGTTTAACGCCAACTCTCGAAAGCCCCACGCCTGATACTAGAGAAGCGTTTAACTGATGAAGGACATGGTTTGCTTTCCATTTTTCAGTTTATCCAACTCTGACTGAAGTACTGCAAAGGAAGTGGGATGAAGCAGAGCAGTTTCTGTATGATCAACTAATAACTGAACAGGTTTGTTAAAATCTTTAAGCTCTATTTGTTAAAGAATAGTTATTGTCAAATAGTTAAACCTGGCTTCTGCAGTTTCTCCTCTTGGAATGGTTGCATTTATTTTGCAGTTGACTAATAGTACTTTCTGTACTCTGTAACTGCTATATTAATTGATAATTTCAGTATTTTGTACAGTGAAGCTTTAGGAATTGGAACAGCCACTGCAAGTTACAAGCAGAGGTGAGTGTCAGGTGGACTTATTTATTGTCTCATGGAAACTTTCTTTTGTAGGGATACAAAAAAATACTGAAAGAAATATTTGAGGAAGCAGGACTTCTAAAAGCAACTGAAGAAAAGGAAGTTGAGAAAAAGAATAAGAAAATAAGTCTGCAATTTGAAACAGTGGAGAAGTGCAATAAGGTATAGAGCATAATATTTACAATGTGAAATTGCCACCTTTTTACTGTATGATTCAGTGTGACAGCATTGTGTACATACTCAAGATTTAACTGAAATCTTTTAAAGGGGCTGTCTATTTTGGTTTCTTTATGTAATGGTCTGCTTACAAATAGAGTAATCTGATATCTTTATTCTAGCCCTCCAGTCAAAAACAAACCAGTACAACTGAATGGCCATTAGGAAAATGGAAGGGGTATGTAGGAATTAGTGTAGGTACATGACTTATGAACACCTTACAAGTGTTCTTCACAGGGAGTATCAGTCTGGAGATACAGACATTATAAATGTGCAGTCAGCCTTGGAAATGGTGATGCTTTTCTGTGCAGATTGTTACCCAGACTTGTGCCAGCATGTGGTTGTTGTTGCTGCATTCAAAGGTAGAATGATATATGGTGTTTCTATTTCTGAATGACTTTGATATGTGAGAATAGCCTTTTTGCAATAGAATTAAAATGGGAATATAGAGGAAGAAAGTGTGCTCAGCCTAAAAGAGCACATGTTGAACATGAAAAAAAGAGCATGAAGGGAAATTAATCATAATGCAGGGAAGCCATTGTTGTCGTTTTATTTGAAAATGTGGCAAAGGCGAAACACCACCTAGTAATTGAACACAAGCCAGCAGTGTGTCCTTGCCAGAAAGGTAGCAAATGGTATCCTGGACTACATCAGGAAAAGTACTGCCAGCAGGTCGAAGGAGGTGATACTTCCACTACACAGCAATGGTGAGTCCACACCTGGAGTATGGTGTGCAGTTATGGGCCCCCAAGTACAAGAGAGATGTTGGAATCCTGGAGAGAGTGTCAGAGCCACAGAGATGCTGAAGGGACAGGCGTACCTCGTACCTCTTCTAACAGGAAAGGCTGAGGGGGAGAAAGGAAGGCTCAGGTGTGAGTTTTCTCAATATCTGAAGGGAGGGTGGAAAGAGGAGGGAGCCAGGCTCTTCTCAGTGGCATACAGTGACAGGACAAGAGATGAAAGACAAGAACTTAAACGTGCGAAGTTCCAATCTGAACATCAGGAAACACTTATGTACTGTGCAGGTGACTGAGCACTGGCACAGATTGCCTAAGGTATGTCCAGATGGCTTTTCATTATCTCCAAGGTGGGAGACTCCACAATGGCTCTGGGCCACCCTGCTCTAGGTGGCCCTGCTTGATGAGCAAATGACCTTCAGAGGTCTCTTCCTAATTGAACCATTCTGTAATTGTATGATTCTGTGAATTCCTGAATGCAGTGAACTAAACTGTGGCAAAGCTATATATACCTTTATAAAGATAACCATTTTGATGTTGTACTGTTAGGAGCTGGAAAATTCGAGTATTTTTTTTTCAACACTTACTTAATTGGTGCCAAAAAGGAAGTACTAATTGTTAGCAAATCTTAATTGACATAAACTTGGCTGTTCTGCTAGCCATAGAATCTTCAATAGTTCATCCTTTGCTCTTTCTTGAGTCAGGTAAAAAAAGGAAAAAATACACTTCAAACCAGATAAGTGGTTTGAGTCTGAAAAGTGCTAAGCCATCCCTGGCTCTGTAATTTAAAAGAAACTGCTGAAAATAAGAAGATGAAGTTGGTAGGTCAAAAGTTGAGGTGACAAATTTCCAGACTGACATTGTAATATAAACTTAAATAAGGCTGGTGCTGTAGCAAACATACAAAGGTAATTTTGTGATATGATAAAATGCTAGTTTGAGAAGGGATAGATCTGTGTTAGTTACAGAAAGCATTCCTAGATTTACTCTCAGATTCAGAAAAGCTGGCCCCTTTTTTGACAAGGGGAGAAAAAAACGCGCGCACGTGTGTGTATATATATATATATATATATATATATAAAAAAGAATAATTTTGTACCTTGTTCTTAGAATAAGCAGATTAAGATCATTAGGTCAAAAGCTGTAATAGCTCTGCACAGACAGATTGTTTGATAAACTTCAATGTTATATTTTATATGTTTGGAGAGTGAGAGAACCTTTTAATACCTTTTAATATTTCCTTTCCTAGGAATACGAGCAACTTTCTAAAGAAATAAAAAACCTTAAAGATCTATTAAGTCAGCACAATATTGCATACAAAGCAAATTCTGGTGAGTTTTTGTATGATTCTTTTTCATTGATTTCTATTTAGAATGCATGTACCTAATTCTTGGTTTTGGCTACAGCAAGGATTAAATAATCCGTCATACATATGGAGAAAATTAAATGCAGCTTTTAAACAGTACCTGGATCTTGATACCTGCACAGGACTTTTGGTCCCAAAAAAGTCTCTTGATGACTTGAAATTTCAGCTTTTCTTTTTTTCTGAAGAGCTGACCGCTGTTGTCAGTGATTGCCATGGTTCTTCTTGTTTTGAGAAACTTTTTTTAAACTGTTGTCTTTCTTTTCTAGAGTAACTTAATCATTAGAATTTTTATAAAACGTATTTGTGTGCTTTAATTATGTAACTTGCACAGTATTTCCACTTGCTTGCATGGTAGCTTACTTATTTATTGCAGATTAGAACATTAATCAAAAGCAGGATTCATAGTTTATTCGACTTAACTCTAAACTATTTAATCAATTTTGTGAGAAAAATGTTTCTGTGTTCTGTGAAGTAACTGATGTTTTATACTGAATATTACAGCTGAAAATACCAGTATTCAACATGTAAATCATGAAGGGGTGGCTGCAGAGACAACTGTTCTAAACAGGTCAAAGAATGATGAACACCTGCACGGAGATACAGGAATTCAGCATGACACTGTGCATGAAGAAACTTAAGTGATAAACAGCAACTTCATGTGAAACGTCGAGCTGGTTGCATGTGTGTATCATGACACTATGATGATTTGCCTTTTGCGAGCATTCTTGACTTTCAGAATTTCTGCCCTAAAGTAAAAGGAACATAATGGAATGAGATCTTGCTGTTACTAAGATCAGGAGGCCAGTTCCTGACAACATTTGTAAAAGCTTCTGTACTCGGGCTGGTATTGGGTGTAGGCTTACAGATTCTGTGTCTCCAGGTTCAGCTTTGTTATTTTCTTTGATCAAGCACGGTAGCAAGTGGTGTAACTACAAAATAGAACCATACCAGGGCTCTAAAGTGTTGTATGAAAAGTACAAAGGAACAATACTCAGAACACGTTACTTCACCTGTACACTAAAATAAGTATTTTCTGTGCCGACTCTAGGAAAAAAAAAAAGTTTCCTGCTGCAGCGGTGCATAGGAAGCAACTCCATCCACCTCAGCTTAGAGGCTGATGTAGTCATGGAGAGCGGGTGCATAAAGGGTACAGTGTTCAGGATCTCAAGGAAAGCTGCTCTGAGAACACCGAGTTGTTGCGGGATAGTCGCGTTAAGCGAACACGTGGCAGTTCTCCGAACGTAACAATAAAAAGTACTGCGCTAACACGGCCTGTGGAAACGTTCCTGCAGAAGCCGGTGGATGCCCGGCAAGCCCCCTCCTGCCGTTCCGCCTCCTGCCGCCGCCCGCTTGGCGAGCCCCCGCAGGCCGACCTGCTTCCGGCGGCAGCCCAGCGCCCTCCGCGGCCTGCCGCTGCCGGCCCGGCCCCGGCGCCCGTGACCGCCGGGGACGCCCGCCGCGGCGCGCCCGCGCTTCCGCTTCCGGGCGGCGCGGGGAGGAGCGCGGCGGGATGAGCTGGGTCCTGGGCGGCTGGCGGTGAGGCAGCGGGCGCGGCGCGGGGGGCGGCGGTCGCCCGCTCCGCTCCGCGCCCCTGACTCGCGTGTCTTTGCAGGGCGCGGCGTCCCGCGCGCCTGCTGGGCCCCCAGAGGTGGCTCGCGAGGCGGCGGGGCCCCGAGGGCGCGGCGAGCGCGGACGCGGAGGGCGGGGGGGCCATCCCCTTCTCCGCCAGCAAGGCCACTCCGCGGCTGTGGAGCGTCAGCCGGTCTATGGGGAGCGACCACCAGAGGCCGTGGGTGAAGGTGCTGCCTCTCAGTTTGCTGTGCGGCGGGCTGCTGCTCTGGTGCGTGTTCAGGGAAAAAACGGAGATTGACGAGCGGTTGGAAGCTGTGTTCTCTGGTCAGATCGTGGACTCTTTAGATGCGGCACAAAAAAGCCGTTCTCCCTTGCAGCCGCACAAGGAGAGGTGACTGCGGCGCGGCTGCGGTGAAGGAGCTGCCAAAAGTTTACTGGCGTTCACCTGGCTGAAGGCTGCTCTGACACTTTAATGGGAAAACGTGTTTTTCCAGCCTATCACCAGCCTTATCTTGCAAACGTTTCTGTTTTATTTATCGTGCCGCTTTCTTTGTTTGTCTTAGCTTAGTAATTTACAGGGGTAGTGGAAGGAATGTTTTTTTTTTTCTCCCTGCATTGCACGGGAGTGATGAACAGGATGTACTGCACATCAACTTGTATTTGTAGGTATGCTGTATACAACTAATTTCTTCTCCATGGATTATTTCTTTTTCTGAGATGCACAACATATTAAAATATCAAAGGTGTATGCCTATAAAATCATTGCCGAAGGTGACTTTCAGTTGACTCTACTAGTCATGAAGTATATTCAAATTATATTGATGACAACTGTGTTAGTGTACGATTCATTAATACATGATTCTTATATTGATTTTTTGCAATTTACTAAATAATTCAGAATTTACTTTTTAAAATGTTTAATGCATAGTCAGTGCTTGCTTTCTGCGCTATAACATCTTAGGCATGCCTAAGTAACGTAAGTAGTTATTGAGATTTTTGCAGGAAATCATAAGTGATTAACCTATATTTGAGGGGGGAGGGGGGAACCCCTTGTTTCCTTGAACAATGTAGAATCTAGTTGTGCCTTCAGATTTGCAGATACTTAACACTTGCACATTCTAGAGACTTTCTTGGGAGAGGAAGTATAAAGCTACTAATATGAGTTCTTTTTAGAGTCATTTTATAAGCTTTCAACTGTAAAAATGCAAATGTCTTCTGTGCTACTGAAGTCTGTAAATAAAATCAAACAAACAAAACAACATAGCAGCAGATAGTAAGGCTGGAGCTAGAGAGAAAAATGGCTTATTTACATGCTTCTCTAATGCTGCCGATTAGGATCTAAGGACAGCGAAGTGGATGTTGATTTTGCTGTGGATTGATGCCTTGTAAATGAGTACAGTTGGTTTGGCACTGTCTTAAGGTTTAAATTGTCTTGGGATTCGACTTCTACCACAAGGGAATGGTGCAGGTGAAATATATGCAGGGGAGCGTCATAGCAAATAAAATAGCGATCCTGACTTCCGGATGCTGACTTAAAGTGCAGCGCCTGCTATTTTGCCTAGCCGCCTTCTTCTCTATTCTGTTGCAACAGTGAACTTAGCAAAGTACTGCTTTGCTGAAGGAAACAGAGGGTTCCCGTTTAGTGTGTGCGATGTTTTCAGGTGATGTGATAGGCGTCCTGACAAAGACCCCACTCCACCCGTAAAACTCCTTTCAGTTTCTTATTTTTCAGGTGTTGGAGAACTTAAACGTTGCCTGCCGCGTTCTGCTGTTAAAAGCAGGGAGTTTGAGGCTGTCGGATGAAGCTCGCTGAAGAAGCTGCTCGTGCTCGGTCTCGAACGCGCCTTCCCCAGGGAGTTGCGGGCTCTGGCTGGTGGCGGCCGGAGGCTTCTTGCGGGCACGCGTTACCGGGGCCGGGCGGCGCTGGGGCTCGCGCTCGGCCTTGCCGCGAGGGGCGGGGCGGGGCGGGGCCGCCGGGGTCGCGTTGCGGTGAGGCGGGGCGGAGGGGCGCTGTGGCCCGCCGGGGGGCGGGGCCGGCAGGACGGGGCCGCGCCTGCGCCCTGTTGGCCGCGGGGGGCGATGCCGTCGGTTTCGAAAGCGGTGTCGCGGGGCGCAGGGTCCGGTGGGTCTCCGCAGACCGAGCAGCCGACGCATTATACGTAGGTACCGCGCCCGAGAGACGCCCCGCTTCCTGGGCCTCGGGGGGTGCCGCGGGGAGGGCCTCAGGCCCCGAGGCGGCGGGCCCCGGTCGTGTGCCAGGCCTGCCCCGCGCGGCCTCCTGGTCTGGCGGCGGGTCTGAGGAGGTCGCCCGGCCGGCCTCCGCCGTGCTTCCTTCTCGGCTCCGGACGCCGCGGGGCGGAAGCCCGGTTATGTGTAGGCCGAACGCAGGCGGCCCAGGCACGGCTGACCGTGGAGCGCTAGCGGCTGTTGGCGCCGTGCGTCTGCTCCCGTGGTCGACCCTGTCCAGTCCGTCCTGGGAGCAGCCGGCATCCTCCGGCAGCCTGAGCTCCCCAGCACGCTTTGGCATTCCAGGACTGTTCTCAAGAAGCTAAGAAAGCTGTCCTCCTGCTTCTCTTGAGCGTTGCCTAGCCAGTCTCAGCACGAGCTCGTGGAACGCTTCTCTGATGATTCCTGCAGACCTTCACATGCTGAAAGACAGCTTCGGTGTTCTCCCTGGAAACGACAGCTTTCCTCAGATGCTGTCTGTTAAAGTTCCTGCAGCCTCCTAGCACTACTGACAGCCCCACTTGCATACGAGCACATGCTCCCCACAAATGCAGAATAATTTATTGCTTAATTTTTGAATTCCTTTCATCCCATCCCCCATATCATCACTTTTATTGTGCCCTGTTTCCAGCACTCTCTGAAGGACCACAAGAACATAGCCACTTACTAGATACTGCTACAGTCCTTTCTACGGATTTGAACATCCAAAAAGTCTATTCCCCATTTTTTTCCCCACAGTCCTGAATAGTTTAGAAATTAAACTTGAAGGCATGCTTTGTAACTGCATGTCATCAAATTCCTTGTATGCATATTGAGTAGTTAAAAACTAAATGATGCCCTTGATTCTCTCTAATCCTTCCCTCGCCCAGAATCTTCAATTCCCCCTGTAGCCCGTTACACATGCTGCACCCTTTTTGAGACCTCTGGGAAATCCAAGGTTCTTCTATAGAGTCCCCAGGTACTCTTTCCAATGCAAGTACTTAGAACTTTAGGGATCTAATGAGCTTGTTAAATTGGCTAATAGATAGATAAACAGGAAGAAGTGATGTCTTACATCCGTTGACAAATGCTATAGTCATGCTGAATCTGGAATGATATTGTATGGAAAGGCTCAGACTTCCTAAATAGCTTCAATGCTTGAGATGCCAATGAAGGACTGTCTTACTAACACCTAAGGAACCTTCAAAAAGACTTTCAGTTTGTCTCAAAACAAACCTAACAGCCTCTAAGTTTGCCGAAGTCTTCTCGTAGACTCTGATAACCTTCTTAAACTACTTTTAATCCTCTAGCTTTTGATATAGCACGTCCATGTTCTGGGGTTACTGTGATTAAACACCAGCGTTTAAGTTAGATGTGGTATTTAGCTAGAGTAGCCATTGTTGGACTATTTTGTGTGGCAGCAACCTATATGAATGCTCATTCAAGTACCTTGATGGATTTATAATCTCTGCTTGGTGGTTATTTAGGGCAAAATTCTGACTACTGTGGTTTTAAAGTTTGTTTGTTTTTAATTCAGTTACATAACATAGTATAATTTGCCAGGCATTCCACAGTATTTTATTCACAATGCATCTGTCATGAAAGAATGAAGTCACTTGTATTCAGCCACTAAACAGTAAATCATGCATAGGAGCTGAAACTGTATGCAGGTACATCAGTAAATTTTTTCATGGGCTAAATGCACGGAATTGTCAAGTGCCCTGTTAATACTGTAAAAATGTGCCTCCAATAAGATAAACTTGTAACACAGTTTAATTTTTTTAGGTATCTAAAGGAATTTAGGACAGAGCAGTGCCCCCTATTTTTGCAGCACAAGTGTACCCAGCACAGACCATTTACCTGTTTTCATTGGCATTTCCTAAATCAGCGTCGTCGTAGACCTATACGAAGGCGTGATGGGACTTTTAACTACAGTCCAGATGTTTATTGTACAAAATATGATGAGACTACAGGAATCTGCCCAGATGGAGATGAGTAAGTGGTTTCTTTCAATCCTAAGTGTTTGTAGTATTAATGAATTTACAGAAAGATGTTAATTTATCCTTAGCAAAAATGATTGATAGAATCCTTTGCATTGTAACCATCTTTAAAGCATAACATAAGAAATTAATTTTCTGGTAATATTGTTCCTGTTGTTGCTGCACATTTTTTTGTCAATTGTGCGGCTTTTTTGAAATGGCATGTGCAAGTTGAGTTGTATAGAGATCGATGGATAGTAGAGGAGAATGGCTGTTTTTTGATGCCTCCACAGAGAGAACAACAGAAGTTCATAGTTTGTTGTCTGGCTAGACCGTTAGTATTTGTATTTCCAAGGACATGTTATGTCTCTTCTAGATTAAGACTACAGGGAACACGTGTAGTGACATGGGGAGGGGGTTAGGCTTTGTGGAGATGAGAATGTATGGCAGGCAGGCATATGTGTGTGTGTATGTATATATGAAAGGGTTGTTAGGCACTGGAACAGGCTGCCCAGGGAGGTGGTGGAGTCACCATCCCTGGAAGTCTTCAAAAGACGTTTAGATGTAGAGCTTAGGGATATGGTTTAGTGGGGACTGTTAGTGTTAGGTTAGAGGTTGGACTCGATGATCTTGAGGTCTCTTCCAACCTAGAAATTCTGTGATTCTGTGATTCTGTGATATATATAAAATAGGAGCTGGGTATACTGTGGTCATATATCATAGAGGAGCTAGCTTTATCTGCAGTGATGGAAGCAAGGAAGGACTTCGGACAGAGAAAACATCCAGGAATTACATCGTTATGCTGCTCACCTGTTTTGAAAAAGGAAGATAGTCATTTTGGTTATTGTAGTGTTTAGCAGCACTTATCATGGACCAGGTATCTTTTGTGTTATGGGCTGTAGACACAGAAGAAAAAGGGTGGATTTTTCACAGAGGTGTTAAACGCTAAACAGCAAGGATAACAAGAGAAAGTAGACAACAAAAAAGCAGTGGACAGTGTGACAATATTTAGAACCATGCCCAAGCAATATAAACAAACAAACGAACAAAAAGTCTTTGAGGGATGATTTAAAAGAGAACAATTAAGTACTTTTTCAGATGTTTGTAAAGCACTTCTGCTAGTCCTAGGGCAGTATGAGCAGTTCTTGTTTGAACATCAACAAAAACGTAATGGATAATTGTGTCATGTATCGACCTGGGCAAAAACTGACTTTTCATTATCGATTGGTAGTTATTGATGCTAATGGCAGAAAAAGGAAGCAGTCTTTTAAAAGGATGTTAGCTAGGTAAGATTGCACTGTTAGAAGCAAATAAGAGGGTGTTTCAATAGCTGGAAAGTGAGATGAAAGTTTGCACAATCTTTTGCAGTAGATGGATTGGAAAGGCTGTACCCTACAATTGCTGAAGATTACTCCTAGGTCAGAAGCCTACATGTCAAGGGATGATGGTCATATTGTCTGGCATAACAGAAGTGCAGCGGACTTGACAAGTAAAACCAGTAGTGAGATTCAGACCTCTGTCTTAGCATGTTGTGCTTATAGTTTGCATTAAATAGATAGGTCTGGGAGTTAACAGCAAAGAGGTAGTGGTTTTAAAGTTTGTGTTTTGCAGAGAAGTCACTCAGTTGAAGAAGGATAAGAACAGGGACTAAGGTTGGAGTCCTGCGAGACATCTCACCAGAAGTATAATACATGTAGAATGTTGAAGTTGGAAGATACGTTGCAGGAGAAATTGAGAGGAAAATGCAGATGTGACTGAATTCTTTTAGGCAAAGAAGGACAAGCCAGGTGGTCAGAGGAGATGATTCTCCTGCTACTATATTTAGTGTTGGTGTGGCTTTTAAGAGAAAAAATGAGTAAAGCGGACGGTAAATTAGGAAAACAAAGATATAAGTGAATAAAGAAAATTGAGTCTGTTTTCTTCTGTTCAGTTATAAAGTGAAATTATTGGAGATGTTTGTGACAGAAGATTCAGCTGGCCTTATTCTAGATCTGGTACTGAGATTTCATGGCTAGAAATGGCAGTCAGCTACTGTAAGCTGATAGCCAGTTGAGGCTAAGGTGGAAGAGAAAAGCTATATAGGACAAATAGTTGGAAAAGGCAAGAAAAACCAAATGTAAATTTCTTAAAGATATTTAAGAAATATCCGAAGCATGTCTGTAGTGGCAGAAGGAGAAAATGGAGGGAAGCACCAGCATTTCTGAGAATATGCCCACAGAATGGCAGCATTTCTGCTACAGAACTCCGCAAAATATTTTTTTTTTCCTTGTTTTGTCTTCTGCCTAAAATTTAGCCTTTATTTGGAGCAATTTCAGATTGTTAGAACGCGGTTAGAACCGGCAGTGCCAGGACACCCCTGTTTTAAGCTATCCATTCCCATGTGCTTGTATTTTTTTGGCTCTTATGTGTATCTCTATTTTCCAGTTCTGCTCATATGAATGCAGTTAGTTTAATGGAGTTTGAGTTAACGTAATGCTAGCAATTAAGGAAAAAATGTTGACATCCATAATTGTTCTCGGACTTTCAAGAGAGCTAAGTAGAAATTGTAGGTTTTACCTAGGCTTGGCTGTATTATTTCATCCCAAAATTCAAGGAAGCCTAAAAATTTAAAGCTGTTTAGAAGAGAGTTTTTCTACAGATAGCAAATTAAAACAATCTGTTTTAAGGAAGGGCCTGTGAGAAAGATTAGATTAATTCAAGAGTTAGAGGAATATATTATGAGCAATGAATAGTGTTCCTCTAAATTTGACATGCGAGAGAAGTGATACTTTTTTAAAATCTGATCTGTTTTTAACCGTTGTAGTCAAATGATGTCAGATTGTAAAAGAGAAGCTTATTTTGGATATATTAGTGTCCATAACATCAGACTTCTCTAAGACTGAAGGAATTACAGTGAATTAGAATGAAGTCTACTACAGAAGAGCACTGTGAGTAACTCTAGGCAAAAATGTCAGTGATCAGAACAGAAGTAGAAATTTGTGTTTCTTTTCATACATTTGAGTACTTCTAGTATTTCCCTTTAAAGTGGATGTTTTTGTTTGTTTGTTTATCCTTAAAGGATATCTTTCGAATGTTTGACATTGTGAATTAAGAAGAGTGTGGAAAAGAAAATTCTTTACTTAAAGGGTGGTGAGCAGGAAAAGTATATAATTTTGGTTTTAATATATAAATACCAAACTTGTAAATTTTTTCAAATAATTTGTTTAGTTTCTAAGCAAGCTTTTAAAAATATGGTAGATAAAGCTTAGGCCTGCATCAGTTCTTATGAATCTTAAACTCTACTTAGTACTTCACCTTTCTTCCTCCATTTACACATTTCTATGTTTTTTTTTTTTGTTTTTTGTTTTTTTCATTTGATGTTCTGTACCACTCTCTGAGTCTTTTGATGCAATTTCTTTTTCTTTGGGATGTGCGAAAGTAATTTTCGGAGATAAATATTTTTTCAAACCCAGAGGTGACCAAAATTAGTTACACTGAAATAAACTGAGGGAGAACAGACTTGTCTGTATGTTTATTTATTTAGTTATTTCATTTGTTTATAATTGGTAGTTAGAATTACAATCCACACATAATGTTAGCAATTTTAGAGTACAGACAGTACCTCGTATAGTTGTGTGTGAAAAATTGTTAGTATATCTACAAAGATGTTTTGCTGATGCAAGAATTTTCTCTTCCTTTTAATAGAAGAGTTGTTTTAGATTTGCTCTCAGGTTGTTCAAGAAGTTTCACACTTAAAAAGATCAGGCAGAAAAAAAAAATCATGATGCTTCAAGTACCCCCCTGGTCTTAGATGACGATAGCATTAAAAAACAATTAACACTTTCTTTGGACCTCTTAGTGAAGAATGACTTAAGCTTGTATCAGTATGGAGGATGTCATTTCTTAGTTCAGATGTTGCTGCTTGTTATAGTAAGCACATATGTGCTTACTATGTTTGTTAAGGATATCTTTGTGAACTGTCCTGCTATAAATTCTTATAACTCTAGATGAGACTAAGAAATAGATTAACATTTTTAATTTTCAAGTTGATCTGTAACAATAATTTATTGGGACAATTTCTATTTGAAGAATCCTGCAAAGTTGTTTGTTATAAGTTAATGAGAGAGAGAGTATAATTAAGATTTTACCATTTAAAAACAAAACTCAAAGCAATGCTTTAACTTTCCTCTTTCTACTGTATAGTTGCGCTTACCTGCATCGAACAACAGGAGATACAGAAAGGAAGTATCATCTCAGATATTACAAGACTGGAACATGCATTCATGAAACAGATGCCCGGGGTCACTGTGTGAAGAATGGAATTCACTGTGCCTTTGCTCATGGGCCACATGACATTAGACCTCCAGTATATGATATAAGGTAGTCTTGTTTCAAATTTTGCAGACTAGTTTGTAGGAAATACCAAGTCTGTTATCACCACACACCAGAAAATGTCGTATGCTTTGCATGAAAAATATACTTTCCTTTGTAACTATAAACATAAGAATGTATTTTACTGTGCATCAAGATAGCACGCTGATGATGGGTCTAAGTACACTGGGGAATACAAACAGTAATGTTTTGTGTCTTGCAGTTTCAAGAGACATCTGTGTAATTCTTATGACTGATGAAAGACAAGATACTTTGTGTTATGCCTTGTAAATTTGCACATGGTTTTTATATTTACAAATTACATCTTTCAGTTTCTGAATTTGTGTTAGGCATTTTTAAATGGTCTGTGTACACTTGATAGGAAAGAATAGCAATTCCTTTGAAGCCTTGGAGGGTGACAAGTATCACTTTCTGGACAGTGGGTGAGCATTCTGGGGAAGCGTCAGTATGTGTTTGCCCTATTCTTACACTCTTCCTTTGGCGTTTGCTGTTGGCCACTGCTGGAGACAGAGTTCCAGGTTTAAGAGAACCTTTGATTTGAGCTGGTATGACTGCTATACTACATTATCTCCTTTGTTATCCATTATTCCCAACCATGTGTTGGGGGATCATATTTTGAATAAATTCATACTTTGCCACAGAATTCACTGCTGCATTGCCTGGTCGCATACTGGATGTGTATTACTGTGTGTATTACACATTACTTATATAGAGCTTTACTTTACAGAAGACTCCCCTCCATCAGATAGCTGATGTTTCTGCTGCAAAACATCTGTCCACATCTGTCCATTTTTTTTTTTGACTTCCCTCATTTAGCATATGCAGTATGATACTATGTCAGTTTGAATGCAGAACAATTAGTATTGTTGTAATCTTTTCTAATTAGAGGACTTCTGAGGAGTGGCTGAGGTCACTTGGTTTGTTCATCCTAGAGAAGAGGAGACCTCATGGCGGTCTACAGCTTCCTCATGAGGGGCAGTGGAGGGGCAGGTGCTGATCTCTTCTCTCTGGTGACAGCAACAGGACCCAAGGGAGCATTATATTCAGGCTGAGTATCAAGAAAAGTTTTTTTTCTGAGAAGATGGTCGGGCACTGGAGAAGAGCCCCAGGGAAGTCATGGCACCAAGCCTGTTGGAGTTCAAGAAGTGTTTGGACAATGCTCTCAGACATGTGGTTTGATTTTTTGGGTGGTCCTGTGTGGAGCTGTGAACTGGCCTCAATGATCCTTGTGGGTCCCTTCCAACTCCGGATATTCTATAATTCTATGATTCTGTAATGTATTAGAATGAGGAACCAATGTATGGCGATACTGAAGCCAAGCTCTCTTTTCTAAATGTCTTTTAATATGTTCGTTTGTTGGCGACTGGCTGCATACAAAGCATCAGGAGAAGCTGAAGACACTCATGGTAGGCTTCTACATTTTAACTGCTTGAACCTAAAAGTAGGCTGACTCAGACGTTGGTGTTTGTGAAAAACAGTCATATGCCATTGCTTCTCTGGTTTTCAGGCATTCAGCATTCATAAGGAAGTCCAAACAATCAGACATTCTTGTTTGGTGATCTTTTTGCTCTAAGATGGCCAATGATACTAGGGTTTCTTCATTATAAGTAAAGAGCAAAGAAATCGCAGTAAATCAATGGTGCAGACATTGACATTATTTCCCTTAAAAGACATGCTTTTCTGCACATTCATGTTAAAGAAAAAGTGTTCTTTAGAAATAGTACCTCTTTTCCTTCTCATTGCCCATGTGCTCCTTGAATCTGTGAAAGACATATTTTGACAGTTTGAAAGACTCGAGACTAGGCTTTGGGGTTTGTCTCATTTTCTTTTCCTTTTTGATATTTTTCTCCTTGGAGGACACTTGGGGTCTGGGAAGTTCTTGAAATGCTATGTAAATGATATAACTACTTACATTATAAAGCCCCGTACCTTTCAAATTCCTCTTCAGAGGTCCTTGTTTTACTAGGAGTATTTTGGAATAGGAGATAAGCTCCTTGAGTATGTCTTTTGAGAGAGCAGTGCCAATTGAAAATGGAGACTTTCGATTCTCATGAAGACAGAGTATTATAGTTCCACCTCTGGTATTTGGTTCCTCACCTTGTTTCTTCATTGTTTCAAAGTCTGCCTAATATAATTTTGCTTTAGCATCCTTTTATTTATTTATTTATTTTTAAATAAAATAATCCATTGTATTGGTTTGCCATTGTCGAATCTCTGTACAGCTTGATTTTGTTAAAAGGGTATAATGACGCTGTCTTGGGTTTTTGGTAGTGGTTTTATACCGCTAGTACAATAAGTTTTAGTTTAGTAGTGGTCATTTCTGATCTTTCACCGAGATTGTGGCTGCTTACCTGAAAAGCAGCTGTAAATACTTGCAGAAGTATTCCATTTCCTCATAATGATTGTCATTTGCTACTATGTCTCCCAAATGACTTGACGTACTTTTATTGCAGAATGGTACAATGAGCCAAAATGCTTTGGCTTCTTTTATATGATCTAGTTTTCTGTAAATAATATTTTGCATCTCCCTTCAATATTCACTTTTCCAAGATGAAGAGTCTTAAGGTATTTATTTCTCCCCTATGTAAGTGTTTTCCTGTATTTCTGATCACCCTTACTTCTCATAACTTTTTTTGTTCTACCACTGTAGTCCCAAACTCATATGTGACAGTGGAATATTAGAAACTTATAGCATATACAAAATGTCAGCATGCCGACATGCAGAGGTATGGATGGACATTGTTGATACAAACATTGGCTGTGTATGTAAAGCCAGCACTCTTTCATATGTTGTCTTTGATTAGTTTATGCGGGTATTCCTTATGTCTATTTACTTGCTGTAGTGCAAGTAATGGTGTGAAACAGTCAATTTATTTTTTTCAAATTTAGGCTTGTTAAGACTTAGATTAAATGACATAATTTTGATAGAATAGGACATGATTTTTTTTTTGGTAAGACAGATAGGGTTACTGTAGCTATACAGTTTAGCAGTGTTATTTTCTTTCCCCATTCCAGAGAACTTCAGGTGCAGGAATCTTTCCAGAATGGGCAGCTAGGATGCAGTGAAGGTATTCCAGATCTGCAACCAGGGATTTTAGCAAGTCAAGCAATGATTGAGAAGATCCTTAGTGAAGATCCAAGATGGCAGGGTAATGTTAGCCTGTCTCCTTTCTTTGTTTATTGGTGTTTGATGCAATTTGTTGATACTCGGTTAACCCTGAGAGAAGTTCAAGTCTTTTTTATAATAGAGTAAAAAATTGGTTTAGTAAGTAATATGTGTGTTTGTGAATAATTTGTACAGTCTGTCCCATTTATATTCAGATTGTATATTGAAAATGTTCTGAGGATGTCTAATAGTTCTCCTCCAGTTTACTTAATACAAGAGGTGCTAATCTGTGTCAATTGAATAAATGCTCTTAAAGTCAGTAGAAGCGCTGTCTTGCGCTAAGTAGTAATAATGATTAGAGTCTTCATTTTTAATTTACTAACGGACTAGTTAGAAAACTAGTTAGTTACTTTAGTAAGTAAACTAGTTTACTTACTTTAGTTAGTAAACTAGTTAGTTACTTTATTCTTTGCTGAGCTTGACTAACAGGAATGAAGTAGAATATTAAACAGAAAATTGGAGGAGAATATTAAATTATGAAAATGTCTTGAAAGCATTACAGTGTGTACTTAATTTCAATTGTCTTGGTTTTCCTAAGGCTTTCAAATTTGGTTCTCATGTATCTTGGTTTAGACTTGAATGTTACACTGCCAAAGATGTTATCATTAAAAGGATATTAATAGAGCTCTTGCTCAAATGTTACTTTAGAAAAGATTGCACGGTACAGTTACTTTCAAAAATTCATGTGGAGGCAGTAACATAGTAAGAGGTCAAAGGAAGGTGTTGTCTCTAAGGAAATTGAGGGAGATAATTGCATGACACTTGTCCCTGCTATACGTTTTGAATCTACTAGAGGGTGAGTTCCAGTCATTTAAGTACTAATAAAGTATAGACCATAGTCTTTGCATTGTGATAGGGGTATGTTATATAATGTTGTATGGTTTCGTTCAATCCTGAGTATGGTGAGATGGAACATAATCACTAGAGATTGAAAATAATCATTCAGCTGGTGACTTCAGCTTTATATTCTTAAGTTTTAAATGAAACTATTTAAAAGGACTGAACGAAGAGTAGACGCTGTGTGATACTCTGATTAGTAATCTCTGCTATTTAAAAGTATGTCATTAATGACTCTTTGAGAATGCTTTTTTGTCTAGTTTTCCATAAATCCTGCAGGAATCTTGTCGTATTCTGCAGTTCATTTTTGAGAACATCTCAGATTAGAAGGTTTGCTAATTGCAATGCATGACATTGATTGCTTCTTTATATGTACAACCATTTTCCTACCTTAGGAAGGAGTTAGATTGGTTTGACATGATTTACTCTCATGGATTTACAAATCCATGCTAGCTGATAGCTGAAGTTTGCCTCCTAATTTATGGTCTTCTACAGTGTTTTTCTAACATTTTCTTAGACAGAACCATGTTTTTAGACAGAACCTTGTTTGTCATCTCCTAATTCCTCCTTACTTGAATCAGAGATATAGAGACATAGGCAAAGGGAGAGAAGAGACTCTAGATTTTGTTCAGGAAGATCTTACTGGGTAGTCTTAATATGCCTTAACATGAAAGTAGTTTTGGTGAAATAAGGACTATTAACACTAAACTTAAGAAAAATGCAGATATAAAATTTGAAATAGTTTTAGTGTTTGTCTTACAGTTTTGGGTATTCATTTTTAAAATGTTGAATGTGTATAATGTGAATTTCTGGACAGTTTGTCTGCCGATAGGTTGCTAGTGCTTTATCTATGTACTTTATTGAACAGTTGCTGTTGAATGTAAAAGTGATGAAGATTACTTTGCATGTTGGTATATTGGACTGTATGTCAAAAATGCAGATTGTATATAGTTTTATAAGAACGTGTGAATCTGTGACTTTTTTTTATTACAAAAAGTCTGATAATTAAGCTCGCTCACTTAAGACACTCTGAATGCAAAATGTTGTTGTTTATTTCTTTTAATTTTTGACCTGTTTACAGACACAACTTTTGTATTAGCTGGCTACAAGACAGAACAGTGTACCAAGCCACCCAGACTCTGCCGCCAGGGTTATGCGTGTCCACACTATCACAATAGTCGAGACAGAAGACGAAATCCCAGAAAATTCAGATACAGGTACATAAATATTAAGAACAGAATTTTGGTCAGTCAAGATAGCTGTTAATACTCTGATCTGTTTGGTTTCTTGTATTATGCAGTTGGATATTCCTAGTGGAATAAAAACATGTCTTTTCCAGTAGACTTGCTAAAACTTTTTTTTTTTTTCCTAAAAAAAGCATTTGTTCATAATAATCATGTAATTCTGAAGAATAAAACCACGAAACAGTAATGAAATTTTCCTTCTTCCCTGTGAATGATGAAAACAATATCTATAATTCTTAGCAAAAATTGAGAATCACTAGGTAATACCCTCTTTGATATGAAAAAAGAGTTATAATTTCTGGCATTCTTCTTTTTTTGTTCCTAAAGTTTTCTGTTTATGAGCAGAAAAATTTTGGTTCTTAGGACCAAAATTTAAAATTTAATGCATTGCCTCACTTACTTTTGGAATGAGCCTATCATTCTAAAACACCAGTTTCTTTATTGATTTGGTATTCTTTCATGCTGTGGTGGAACATTTAGAATTGTTGGGTTTTGCTTGACAGTCTCAGGACTGTCCATAAATTTCACCAGACAGAAGAAAAATGGAATCCTACTAGCTTGTCCTCCTTCTGTCAAAAAATTTACAAAAAGCAGGTGTCTCTTAGAATTCACAACATTCTAGGTCCCAGAAGCTAAGATTCTGAGTTTTAATGGGAAATTTCTTGAGACTTCTGCTAGGATGTAGATAAAAACGTGCTTGGACTTCATTTTTTATAGGTCCACTCCTTGCCCCAATGTAAAACATGCAGATGAATGGGGTGAACCTTCAAGGTGTGAAAGTGGGGATAGCTGTCAGTATTGTCATTCTCGCACAGAGCAGCAGTTTCATCCTGAGGTAGGAACTATGTTTCTACTTATTTTTAATGTTTTTAAATTTATTATGGAGTTGATTGTTGATTAAAGATGATACCCATGAAATAATATGTGGCATTTGGAGAGAAAATTAATGTAATGCCTCAGGTAGTTGAGGTTTTAACGACAAAAAAAAAAAGTGCATAGAAATAGTTATTTGTACTGATGTGATTCTCATTGATAGGCATTTTTATTATACTTTTATGAAAAATGAGTTACTATTCTCTTCAATGGTTGGATGCCTTTAATCTGTTAGCTGGATTGATTTGTCACATGGCTCATGTGAAAATACTTTTTTCAAGTTGATAACACATATATAAGATTGGGGCATAAATAAATGGGTTCTCTTTTTTTGCCTAACTTTCAGAATCAGTAATAAAGTCACAGTACTAATTGCATTTAATCGATAACTTGGGAAAAAAAATCTATTTTAAGTTAAGAAGATATATGTCAAATTATTACAAAAAATGATTAGGTCAAGAGGAGATGAAAAGAGCAGAAAACTGTCCTACTAGCTGAAGACACTCCAGAAAAACAAGATAAATTTAGGTTACGCCATAAGTGAAGTCATTGTGACTTTGTTGGATTCATGAGCATAACAGTGAAGTGCTAGGGAACAGAGCAGTGCTGTGCAATCTGCTGAGATTTAAATCTTTTGCGACACTAGGAAAGTATTAAATTTGCCAGGTAATGGAAACAAACATGATACTGAATAGACATGTTAGGTGAGAAGCTGCCTGTACATCTTTAGATATCTGTTTTGGTTTTGGGACCTCTGAATGGACATGAAGAATTCACAGCAGAATGTAATTTCTTGCATTAGGAACTTCAACACTTAACTAAGGTATAAGCAAATACCATTTGAGCAATGGCTATTTTCTCTTCCAATTATGGAGATTATAGAAGGCATCTCAAGAGCATACCAGAATACTGACTTTAGAGTTGTTGCAAACTCTTTATCATACTTTCCCTATCATAAATTGAGCATCTGCATCTTTATAGTAAATAAATCCTTGCTATCTATACTCTTAGATGCTGCTCCAGAATTTCTCTGTCCTTGTTTCTAGAGATCTTTTGGTCTAGATTTATTTCAGATTATTTAATTTCTACCTTATATTCCAGCCCTTTTCTGTAATAACATTGTGTTCCTGCTTAATGACTGCTGTAGCATGACTACCCTACTTTCATTTATGACAAAGCTCATAATGAAATTGCTAAAATAAGTCACTGGGCTGAGGCATGAGTTGTGATGCTAATTTTGTCTGCTGCCTTCCTTTTTTATACCACCTTTATACCATCTTCCCACTTGTTTAACAGCAGATATGTAACATTGGTAATTAATCTTACACATCCTGTATTGAAGTTCTTATTAGAATGACCACTTTTACAGTTTAGAGGAGAATCTTTGATTTATTGGTTATATGGTGAGTCTTCTAGGATGTGCCTTAACAAAATGTATTTTTAGTTTTATCACTTTTTTTCTTCCGTCCTTTCTTCCATCCGTCCTTCCGTCCTTCCTTTCTTCCTTCCTTTAATTAAACTTTGAGAGAATAATTAGTGGACTTGCAGTGGCCTGAATCAGCTATTTTTGTTCTTCTCAAACTTAAGTGTGCTATACTTGAAACACCTCAGTCAGATGTACTACTTCTGATGTGACAGATTTGCTAAGAGTACATGCTAACTGCAGCTGTTTCATATGTCAGTTCTTTAAATATTCTGATGCAACAATAACCTAATTCATTTCCTGACCCTGAACCAAACAAAGGTGATTTGCTCCCACATCTGCTCTAGTCACTTCAATCTTTGCTTTTATTTCCATTAGCTGTGCTGCCTTTGTTGTAGTGTTGAACATAATTCATGCTGGTATTCAGGACAGCTTGGTAGGCATAGGGTCATCACCTCTCTTAATTTTAGTTGAAGCATTTAATTTCACAGGAATGAGCAATATGCCTTTACTCAAAGGAGGAGTTTTCATTTGACTTCTTACCCTATGATCCTTTCGCTTCTTTGCTTAAGCTCTGACTTCCTTTCAGTTGTGCGATTAGCATGCACAACTTCTAATTTAACAACTTTAATTTCTTAAAGTGATGTAAACGACTTTGAAAAATTTGTTGTTGGTGTTTGACTTGTTTCCATGCCACATGGAAAACCAAAACAGTTTGAACAATGCTTTGCTAGAACACCGTTGTTAATATTTATTATTACTACAGAAAAAGGTTAAGATTCTCATCTCCTGTTTACTTTTCTTACAATTCTGCTCTTCTATTTAAGTTTAAAAAAAAAGAACACACAAGAACTGAATTCCCTGAGAAAGTGTATTGCATATTGCTATTAAATATTAAGAAATCTTAATTTAAATGTTTTAAAACTTTAATTATTTGTCACTACATAGCAAATATGTGTAAGTTAACTATGCTTCTGTTTTGTTTAGATATATAAATCTACAAAGTGCAATGACATGCGTCAGACAGGTTACTGCCCACGTGGTCCATTTTGTGCATTTGCCCATGTTGAAGGTAAGTAAGAGAACAGTTATTTTGTATCAGTGTTCATAAAAGTGCACAGTCATTTCTAAGTATCTGTAACAGAAATTCCTTTAAGTCATTAATTTTAATGTATAAATAGCAATTGGTGTCACATGTTTTTAGAAATCCATTCCATGTTTTCCAATACACTATGTTGTTATGGGAGCTTGCTGCATTTGCATCAAATTTGCAGCAGCAGTAAAACAGGAAGTGCTTTTCTTTACAAATGCAGCTTGTCCTGTTAACACTTAGAACTTGATTTGTCAAATGTATACGCACGTTTGAGTTTTGTTAAATACACGGCTTGTCCTATTGAAGCCTATGATAAGCTTCAAAACAAATAAATAATGGTCTGGTCCAGGCTTACATTTTACCTTCTGCTTCAAGGGATGAAGAGAGGCATTAGGTGCTCTACCGACTCTGAAGATCCCCAGATTTCTGTGATTAAGTAGTATTTAGCTTATGATTCTGTAATGATGGGTAATGGCAGTTTACCTGTTCTAGGCAAATGTGATGTTCTATACAGCCATTTATTGCAGTACTTGCTTACCTATGTGGAAGAGGTAAAGGAATATTTTCCACCATTCATACAAGTATTTTGGCATCTTCTGTCATTCTGTGTTGAAATAAATTGGGGAAGCACATGTTCCCTACAGTAACATTCTTTGTCTTCTCACAATGGGTTCTTCAGAATCAGCAGGAACGTTTTATCTTCTTTTCTTTTTTTTTTTTTTTTTCCTACCCTTCCCTTTTCTGAAGACCACAATATTTTTTTCAGGAGCTCCAGTGATCTCCATGATACAGGCCATCACATAAGACTGCTGTTGTTTTTTCAGGTCCAACCTCCCACAACAGCAGTTCATCTCTGTGAAAATACACTTAAACCTGGGGGAGGTCTGCGCTGTAGAGTTTGTAACTTCCATGAATCAGGACAGAAACTATGATGTTTACTCATCAAAGGAATTAGAATAGTTGTAGAAGCACATCTTCCAAATTTAATGTGTTTCTTTGACTTACTGTCAATAAGCAGAATAGCAAAAACTAATTGTGGTGTTATTCCTATATTCTTTGAAAAGAGAAAAGAGAGATTATTTTTCTCTTGAAACGTTTGGAAGGTACTCTTAACACTACGTTCTTAGGGTGTTTCATCTACTTAAACTCATTTATAGAGTACTAGAGGAGCATGTGGTTGTGTCACAAAAAGAAGACTTATGAAGATTTAAAAGAGTGGGAATCAAATAGTGTTTTTCCTATGACAGTGTGAGGGTCGGCTGGACATAAGATAGCTGACTGGACTTGCTCTGTGCAAGCAGTTACGCCATGAAATGATACTTAGAGAAAGTGAGAATAAATCACGAAAAGTGAGTGCATCTGTTTCTGTCTTCTGAACTATTCTTTTCATACTCATTTTGTAAGAGGAACAACAGTGATCTACTGACATCCTCTTTGCAATCCCTGCAGATTCTTTTTTTTTTTTTTTTTTTGGATGTGGCTGGACTGGACTTGCATACATAGTGGTACTTAAGACAAGCTCTTTTCCATTTTTCATGCGGATGTCACTGCCTGATTTTTATACTTCATAAAATAGTTAAGATACTTGATAAAGCACTGGACCATATACTAAGAGGCTGATGGAGTTACGATAAATAAAATAATAGGAAAAAAAAAAAGCACCTCATCATTAGAAACTATCCTCAGCTTTGTTATCTACCATGTAGAGAAGTACTTCCGTATTTCACATTCTTATCCTGTTTCTGACAATGGCTTGCACTTCTGTACCCTCTAGCTTGAGCTACTTATTATCTGGGAGAGAAATGTTCGCATTTGATTTTTAAATGTAGTTCATTGTTACTTCTTCGGAACTGCAGTAGTGACTAGAGATGAAAAAAATCTTACAGTATCTTTAGAGTTTATTAAGGGACTTTGTTTTCAGTCCTGACTAACTTATTTTGATATATTGTGTGTTGTGTATGAATTATGAGGTGAGGAACATCATTAACTGTAATAAGTAATTTTTCATTAACTCATCATTTGTATGTAAATCTAGAAGTCTAAATCTCGTCTATATATTTTTACATTTAAAGAATTGAGTATCTGAGATGTTGAAAAGGTTAACAGTAGTCTTTGGGAAACTGGGAAGTAATTGTTCAGTTACCTTGAGCTGAATTTTTTGGTATCAAAATTAATAAGTTATTGGTTATGATTTACGTCTAAGTTAATAGTGAACTTTCTCAAAGATTATTATTCATTTTAAAGTTAAGCACTGTACATACCAGCTTCTCTTTACTTTCTTAATTATTATTAAGTGAAATGTTTCTAGACTAGATGGAGGGAAAAAAAAGGTAAAATCAACTCAGTAATTATGATGCCACTGTTACATTCCAGTCAGGGGTTATTAAAAAAAAAAAAAAAGTTTTTAAACTCAGGAGTAATAGACATTCTGGAGAACAAAGCAAAATCTATAATATGGTAAAACATTTGAGTTTTGATCTACCATCAGTTTTTGATGAAGCAAGAAAAGTATCACTACAGTAGTTCACCTTTGTTTGTAGCCACAAATACGTAATGATGAATTATATTATTCTTACCTTGTCTTCGTGCTTTTATTTAAAGAAAAAGAGACATTTTTTGTGTGTGTGTGTGATTGATGTTTCTGTGTGATGGGTGTTTTGTTTGGTACTAGGTATGTAATTGTTAAATTCACACAGCTAAGTATCAAACCTGTGTGTAATTTGTTGGGGATTCCTTCAACAGAGGACACCATGAATGTAGTCATACTGCAAACTGGTTGTCAATCAAAGCCAGGCGCTCACCTGTTTCCAACAGACAGCATAGGAATTGCAAATGAATGGAGCAGCAGTCTTAACTCCACAAACAGCATTACAAATAACAGTGGGCAGTCTGGAAATGTAAGTGTAAATCTGGAAAAGCTACTACTAATAATCACTGTACCAATATATAATTGTTTATTTTATTTCTTAAACGTCTGTTTTTATTTCTTTGTACTTCATCAAAAAAGAAAAAATCACAGCTACAGGAAATGTCAGGCAGTATTATTTAACTGGTTTTGAAAACCTAAATGGAATGTCTGCCCAGGGCACCAGATTTAATTATGTATTACGTGTGTTTTCTGTTCTTGTTTTCTGTCTTAAAATGCAATATTTTGAATGCTACATTGAGGAATGTTGTTGTTAATCAAATATACAACTACAAGACAGCTTAATTTATGTGTCTGTTTTTTCTGTAGGAGAGGTTTCATTCATGGAAGATCTTGCCTGATAACGGCCCTCTTCTCTGTCCTAATTTGCTAATGTTACGAATTAAGGGATGTCCTATCCAATCATACTTTACTTAAAGCTCCTTGCAGTGATGCAGTAGAAGCAGTGTGTTTGGTAATAGAGAGGTGTTTGATTACAAAGGTGGTAAATGTAGTCTATGTTAGCAAATTTCATCAGTAAAGGTTGGGGACAAGAACTAGCAAGGTATATTGCAGAATTTTTAATGATCTTCCCTTTAGTATCAATTGGAATAGATCTTTTGTTTGTTTTGCAGCAAAATAATTGTTTTTTAACCCAGCAGGCAGCTAAGTACCACATGATCACTCGCTCCCCCAGTGGGATGGGAGAGGTAATTAGAAAAAGTTAAAAATGCAAGAACTCATGGGTTGAGATGAAGGCAGTTTAACAAGAAAGAAAGATAAACAAACAAAGCCACAAGTAATGCAAAATGCAATTGCTCACTACCAGCTGACTGATGCTTAGCCAGTCCCTAAGCAGTGGCATCCCCTCCCACCCTGGCCATCTCTCCTCCCCACCCCCCTCCCCCCAGTTTTTATTGCTGAGCTGATGCTCTATGAATACAAATATCCCTTTGGTCAATTTGGGTCGCTGTCCTGGCTGTGTCCCCTTTCAGCTTCGTGTGCACTCCCAGCCTTCTTGCTGGCAGGACATGAGAAGCTGAAAAGTTCTTGGCTCAGTGTAAGCATTGCTCTGCAGCAACTGAAACATCAGTGTATTATCAGCGTTATTTCATCCTAAATACAAAACACAGCACCATACTAGATCCTATGAAGAAAATTAACTGTCCCAGTCAAAACAAGGACAATGATATATAAAGATAGCAACATCTTTTCTTTTGCGATTTTTTTTCTTAACATATTTTTAATATGTAAATACATTTATTACCAGAATTTCATTTCTAGGTTTCCAGAAGTGTTGGTCTATCCTGCTTGGTTAGAAACTACATGAAAGGACATAGTTTAAATAACGTTTAAAAGGAATTGTAAGTAAATAGAGCATTTGTTAAAACTCCTGACTTTTTCTTGTAGTTTCATTATGGTGTCCTGTAGATCAAGAATAAAGATACCAGTATGCAAGCATTTTATCTCAGGACTCCAGGGCAGAAGCCAGGAGTCCTGGCTATAAGGTTCTGAGAGAGAGTCCACCTGTTTATTTGGGAAGCTAACCTTCTGAAACTTTCAGGAGAGACTCATATCAGAAACTTCTTAGCCTGTCATGAATGAATTCATTACAGCTGAAAATGCTAACTATCCTTGTGTGCCTTCCAGCCTTGAGAAATCTTCCTCCATATACATGCGTTTTTCTGTTATAGTCATTGGGATTCTGATTAACATTGTGTACATTTTCCATTCTGTTTCCATTAAGAGCGCTTGCATTCCCGTTCAAGTGTGAAAATGCAGAAGTTGACCCTGCTGTCTTTCCTGTACTTTCTGCTTGAAGTTTTATTAGAAGTAGCCATCTTTTTCTGTTCTCTGGCAAAATGTCATGCCATTTCTTTCACTTGATTACTTACCTACACTTCCATTATATTTTTTCTGAATATTCAGTTCCTGATTTCTTATTACCAATTTGGTCTTATGTCTTTATATGTTTAATTCTTGAATTGCGTTGCTTGCTTACTTGCACCATCAACATCTCTTTTAAACTGCTTTCTGTTAGCATTAAAGCAGTCACTGTATGCTTTCCTACCTCCCCCCATTTTTCTCTACTCTGGCACCATGTTTACATTCTTTGTTCATGCTTTTCTCTCTGTTCCAATAAGCTTTGTCTTTCTGTCTCCTTCATCTTCATTCTCAGCACCATCAGATGCTGCTCCCAAGTGAACTTAATTTTAGTGATTTTAGTGTTTTGTTTTTTTTTTTTTTTCACTCCATAATCAGACTTTCTCACTTCTTTTGAGTCTTCAGAACTAAATCTCTCTATTCATATTCCAAAACTTCTTTCACCTGTACTGCTGTATTACGCCAGTGAAGTAACCTGCTATTTTCTTTACTTCTAGAGGAGAAGGGTGGTGTAGTACTTAGAGCACAAACCTTGGGCTTGAGAGACCTAACTCGGTTCTCTGCTCAGTCATAAAAAACCTCCTTGACTCGGAGCAAGTTGTTTAACTACCTGTTGCCTATGTCCACAGTTTGAGAGTTTAATACTATTTCCCTTTCTATAAAAAATATTGAAAGAATGAGCCCATTAAAAATGCTGTACAATCCAAGTTGTTAGTGAGGAGGCTCTGTTTTAAATAACTTTTGTAAACTAATACCTTCATTACATTCTTACATGTTCATCTAAGTATTTATAGTTTCCCTTCCTCTCCCTTACACTATTTTTCCTTCTCATGCTGATATTACACTTATTTTGATGGTAGTAGTAACATTTGATTTCATGTTAATTATGAACAAAAAGTCGCTTCTGATACAAAATGCACATTTATTCGTCATCTTGGCATTGATATTGCACTAAGTTGAATGACTTTCTAGTGATACATTTCTTGACATTTCTTGAATGTTCTTTTTATCTTACTTGCGCAAAAAAAAAGCAAGACAGTTGAGATACAGGAGCAGTGGTCTTAAAGGTATCGTGTATCAGGCTGCAATAGATGACTAAATATTTGAGAAAATATTTTTTGTCAGATGAGTGGCAGTGTAACCTGTCATGATTTCTCTGTGAAGTCCACCTACCTTTGAGTCATGGAAGAGATGCATTTTCAAGCCTGGAAAGAAAGGTGGAGGGCCCTGATAAATGTTGACATTAAGGGCCGGAACATCTTCAGCAGACCTGGAGGAGTCTCTCAAAGATGAAAAGGAGGTGGCCCTAAAATTCTTCCATTTGCCTTCTCTGCCTTAGAAATGACTTTTGTTCGATGACCTTAGATAATGACCAGGATCGGGTATTTTTCCTAAATATTGTCTCTTCTTGCCCCCTTTTGGTAGCAGGATATTAGCCTGGGTCTAATCCAACAGCTCGTCTTACTACATTTATATTACGGGAATAAATGTACAGTATAGGGGCTGGCAGAAGATAGGAATAAATTCCAAATAATAACTTCATACCAAAAAGACTTACTTTATATGTAAACTGTCCTGTAAATTCATCCTAGGCTTGAAATGCAAAGATTTCTTTTTTCCTGCTTGTATATTTTAGCCTACTGTGGATATTATATGACTCATTTTTTTCATGTATTCTCTGTAAGTTGAGTCACACAGAATTTGTGGTACTATATAACGTAGTTACTAAAACTTAATGTGTTGTTTTTTTTTGCTGGAAAATACAAAAGGCAGAGTAGAGGCTATTGCTATCTACTCTCATCATGGTTGACTCTTCAGAGTTTAAAATCAAAAATCTAAACATATGTGTAATCAGATGCTGCTTCCTGCAGCTCTGGTGGCTGAGCAGTATTTACTTATTTATTTTGTGGCAAAACTACACAAATTATTACTGTGTAAGTTCTTAATGCTTGAAGCTCTCTCTGTAGATGTTAATGCTACTGTTGATACCTACTATAAAAAAAAGGGTCATATGAATGGCACCTTATCATCTTATCTGACGGTATACACATCTCATAGCATCTGAGCTTGACCAGTAGCTCTGTACCTCAAACCCTTTACTTCTGGTTGAAAAAGAGTGTAGCTCCATATACGGTTCTATTGTCTGCAGGTAGCTCTCCAAGATAAATAATCCATAATGACTATCTTCCTTCCTCCCTTTCCCCTGGACTACATTAGGTCACATTGTGAGGGAGTAACTGCATTGCAGGGGGGTAACCATGATGTACGTCTTCCTCTGCCTGTAAATTAATCTATGTTGCCTGCCTATATGAAAATGTGGGTGTGAAATTTACATCTGAGAAACATTCTGTGCAGATAAGGGAAATCACATCCTTAAATGGAGTCTGTAGTTTATCTAGACTATTATCTTACTTCTGGTGTTAATGTGCCTTCACTGTCTACTCATTTTAATTTACCTACTTGTCTGCTGCATTAAGGAACCCTCTGCTACCAGAAATACGTTTTTTAAATATTCTTAGAAGATGTAACTGTATTGTTCATAGTAAGTTTTCAAAATCTTTGGATATGGAACTGAATACCTTAACAAGTTTTTGGCAACAAAACCAAACCAAAACTCCACAGGTTTTTAATTTCACTTAAGATCAATGTTTTTTTCCTGGCAGTGTCCCTTTTTTTTTTTTTTTTTTCTTTTTTCTTCCTTTTTTTCTTTTTTTCCCCCTTCAATTTTCTCTTTAGGATAAGCAAGATTTCAATATATTTGAATTTTATAAAAATTGCTAACTTGCTAATCCATGCACAAGGGCAATCCTCAGTTTTGGATTTGCGGTGAATGGTAACAGAAAGAGAAACATTATATGCCGTAACTAGCTTGTGGTCAAAACATGAATCCTACAGCCTTTGACTTCAGTAGGAATTTTGTCTGAATAAACCTTGGCTATCAATTTAATTATTTTTGCTGTGGTGTCCACTCTTGTACTTCTGTTGTCTGTCAGGCTATATGTACATGTATGTTTCATTCTTACATAGGTAGGCTCTCTTTGGATTTCAGAAACAGTACAATTGCGCAACTGTATGCAGATAAGGTCTGTGACAGCAGATTTTATGTAGGAAAAGGTGTGAGTGAATGCATAGGTAATAATATTCAATGGCTGTAGGGCTTACATTTGTTGAGGTGTTCGTTCTGTCCAAGGTTAAGATGACCTACCTGTAGGTTCACGTGTGTCCTCTACCTGATTTAAAGGAATTTGAATCTGAAGTTCCTGCTGCACAGGAGGGGCATCTTGAGGTTATGCTATTCTGGGGAGAGAGGTGTCTCATTTTAAAATCCTGATTTGTTTAAAATATTTTCACATTCTTTGGATCATAAAGTAAGAGTTAAGGTTAACCCTAAGTTGAGAGTTTAGTAGTAAGCTATATAGTTATTTTCAGTCTGTCTGATTCAGTGTGTGTTTTATCTTTAAACAAATGAAAACAACTTTGGCAGAATTTTACTCCACTATTGTACAGAGCATTGACTAGTTCAGGTTCTTGAAACTTCACAGACTGTTCTGAATCAAGTGAAAGAGGGCTTGAAATGTGTCTCATCGCTGAGTGTTCTCACCACTGAGAGAACTGAGTCTAGTTATTAGCCTGGCTTGAAAAAACTAAAAGGTTTATTTAAAAAAATGTAGAAACAAGCAGTACCCACAGTTTCACTTGAACATGTTTATTGTAGGAATCTGCCACCTGACTTCTAAATTTCAGGTTCATTGGAATTATACTTTGAGTGAACATATTGTCCAGGCCTGCTTACAAAGATTACAACTTCACCTTAAGCCTTTTACTTCAGAAATTTATAACTCTCTGGCAGTTGTATATCAGAACAAAAATGTATAAATTCAGTAGTGTTTTAAATGTTGAAGTGTTGAGGATGTTTACTCATTAACAGATTATTTAAGAATCTCAGAAAACAGCCTTTTGAGATATACAAATGGGCATTGACTTACTTTTTGCCAAACTTCTACTTGACTTTTTCTTATTGAACTTGATCCCGGTGAGTTCTTTGAAAGTGTGAAATGTCATACAATGCTTACTTCAAACTGTAAATAAATAAATACATGAATGAATGGTAGTCATAGTTGTCAGAAAGCAAGTAATTTCTGCCTGAGAGTCATTTTGTGCATGGGGAACAAACAAGGCAATATTCTGGTGTGTACAAATGCATCTTCTTTTGAAATTTGTATAGTTACAATATCTCCATGTTACTTTGGCTATCAGCTAGTTTTTAAGGTAATATCAAAAAATACACAGATATGCTGAAGTTGGCATTGTATTAACAGAAATTGAAGTTGATCTATAATTTCAACTAATTGTGTTCTAAAGGGAAAATAGATATGTAAAAATATAGAGTATATTAGACACTGTTTTCTGTCTTCTACAGATTTCCTGTTCTTCAAGTCCAACTGTAACATCAACTTCTAGTAGCAGTAGTTCTTTGTCACCTCTGGGACCTCTTTGTAGACAGAGATCATTAGCAAATGGTGTTCTGTGTTCTGAGTCTAGTACATCAGGTGTTTCTTCACCAACATCTAGCTATCCAAAAGCACCAGGTTTTGAACGAGAAGATCAGGTATGTGAATAATATGGGTGTAGAATTACAAATGCAACCTTAACATAATTTGATTCAGAAGAAAATGTTCTCTGCCTCACATATCTGCCCTCATTTAAAACAGAGTTGGGAGCCGTCTTCTGTTGTGAGCTAAACAGTGTCAAACTACAGTTGTCACTGGCCAAGAACACCCTTGCAAAGTGTCAACTGATATATAGTAAGTTGTAACTTTGCAGAAGCATTATGATTGTTATTTTGAGCCCAGGTAGCCTAGAATAAAGCAAGATAACAATGAAAAAAACAAACAAAAACTATCTAGACTTGTTAGGGTTTGCTTTTAATTTTTGTTGAAAACAGATGGTGAAAATACACATTATTTCTGGCTGTTGAGACTATTTATGAGTGCTAATCTTTGATTAATTTCTGTTTCTTGTCCCACCTGCAGCTACCTCTCAGACAAGTTCATTGCTGAGACAGACCAATGATAAAATACAAGCCTCTTAAAAAGAGAGCTCTGTAGCAATAATTGAGAAAAGATGTAACATTGATTAAAATCAGTTTTGCCACTTAGTTCACCATCAGTGAGTAATGTACTGCTATAAAGCATGTGTCTTAACAGCAAAAAAGTCATGTGCTTGCCTTTTCCTGGCCACATTGAATCTGTTTAGAGAGGAGGCAGTGAGGGACTTTGGAACTGAGAAAAAAAGCATGGAGGCTTATAAGGAGGAGAGTTGCAACAGGGAGCATTCACTGCAAGAGAGATTAGCAATCTCCCAAAGGAACAAGCGCAACAGAACTGCTCAAAGGCAGCAGAAAGGACTGATTATTTTTTTTTCCTAAAGAGACAGGAGCCATGCAGAGGTTACTGCAATTAAGGAAATCACTGAAAATTATTAGTCTGAAAAGAGATATTTTTCATTCTGCTCTTCAAGAACACAGCGGGCGTAGAGAAAATGCTTACAGTTCCCTTTAATTTATATGTTTCACTCGTTTCAAAAGTTATCTTATTACAAAATGGTCTTCAAATAAAATCTGCCCTTATGTTTGAAATTGTTTTGCTTGTTATTTGTAGCATCATTACTTAAAGGGCAGTTCCACTGAAACTTATGGCTAACTCAGGCTTCTATCTCACCAGCCTCTTGGAGAATTATTCCCCAGCTGGTGATCACTTCAAACATGTTATTTCAGTCACAACATAGTGCTAACATGGTTATTCAGTTTTTGGACCAGAAATAACTTGCATGTGCTCAGTTGTGCATGTAAGTGGAACAGTTGCAACTGCCTTTCCTTTTTCATGTACATTGACTTTATGAGCATAAAAATTCAGTGCTCCATATGGGACTGCAGTGAGGAAAACAAAGTCATCCTCTTTAAGGCATTGTTACAGGGATGCCAGTGACCCTTCATAAACTAATTAGATAATTTATAGCAGTGACTCATTAAGTTCATATATTATATAGAGTTTTCTTGTTTTAGGCAAAGCAGCGAAGTTTCTCAGCTGAGAATCAGCAGAAAATAAGTGAACAAGACAACAAGCAGGTATTGCCAGAAGCTAAACACTGTAATATTATGCCCTTTTTGGTCATGCATTAATGCAGTATCAAAGTTCTGTGGCACTTTGTAAAATAGTCTAAGGAAAAATTGCAACTAGTGACAGGACAAGAGGCAGTGAACACAATAACTTCTGTCTGAATAGCAGGAAATGCTGCTTTACTGTGAGGGTGACTGAGCACAAGAGCAGGTTGCCCAGAGAGACTGTAGAGTCTCTGTCCTTTGAAATATTCAGAAGTTGTCTGGACATAGTCCTGGGCAACCTACTCCAAGTGGCCCTGCTTGAGCAGGGGGGTTGGGCCAGATGATCTCCAGAGGGTCCATTCCAACCTCAACCATTTTGTGATTTTGTAGTACAAGGTGAGAACAAGAACTAACTGGGAAGCAGCACTGTGTAAAAGTGCCAGAGGGTCTATGTAGACAGCAAGCTAAATGTGAGCCAACAGTGTTGTCTGGCTGCAAAGAAGACCAAACATCATCCCATGTTCTATTAACAGGAGCATGGCAGTAGATCCAGGGAAGGGTTTACTCTGCTCTGTTTTGTACTTTTTAGACCACAACTAGAATACCACATTCAGTGTTGGCCCCCAAGTATTAGAATTACATCAATAAACTACTTAGAGCAAGCAAGTTCAGTGAAGGGCTGACAAGATGGTCTGGGTCCAGGAGCACTTGTCCGGTGAGGAGAGGCTGAGGAAGCAGAGCTTTTTCAGCTTGGAGAAAAGAAGGCTTCAGGAGGACCCAATAGCAGCTTTCCAAATACCTATGGGGAGCTCAAGAAGACAGAGCCAGCATGTTCACAGTGATGCTATTGGGTGGACAAGAGAGAACTTACTAAGCTGGAGCAAGTAGCTAAGACTGGATACAAGGAAAAGTTTTCAGCACTGGGAGAGTTGAGCAGTGTTTGCAGAATTTGCTTGCACACTCTTCATCATTGGAGGTTTTCAAGATCAGACTAGCAAAAACACTTAGTCACCTGGGCTGACTTCATAGACAGATTAGCTCTGATCAAGTGGTTGGACTAGATGCCCTGCTGCAGTTCCTTCCAACCTGAATTACACGAATTTTCCTATTAGCTAATGTTCCTAAAAATATTTGCAGGTTGTTTTTGTTCTTTTATTCTCTTCTTACTAAAAAAAAAAAATAATAAATAAAGCTATATAATTTGCACTTAATTAGTGCAGAATGTTTGAAATTCTGCTAAGTAATTATAAAATTCTTGACGTCTTTTTTTAAATAACCTTTCTCTCCTGACTCGTTTCTGTTTATTTTGTCTCTCTGTTCTGTTTAGATATCCTCCAGCATGGAGTTTGGAAGTCACAGATAGTGTCAGTCTTGGTCTGTCAAAAGAGAGGAAGGAAAGTAACCTTTGAGCAGCCCAAGTGCATCTCTGTGGAAACAGGGTGGGACAAGAGGCTTGCTGCTTGTAAATGTGTTAGGCAGAAATGAGTAAATAGTCCAGCAGGTGTAGGTGTTTTTGCTGGGGAGAAAGAGTACTAACTGAAAAAATCCATCAGCTTTTTGTGGGTATGTGAGGTTTCTTCACTCCACTCTCACCAAGAGGCCTCAGCTTAAGATGGGACAGGCCAAAAGGGCGTGTATTTTGAGTGATAATTTTTCAGTAATATAAAAATTCTCTTGTTGTTAATTCAGTGTAAATTTTAATGTTGGAACAAAGCTTGGAAAAGCCTATCATAGAATCATAGGATAGTTGAGCTTAGAAGGGACCTCTGGAGGTCTGTAGTCTATCTTTCCCCTTTTCAAAGCAAGGTCAGCTAGAACAGGTTGCTTAGGACCTTGTCCGGTAGTGTTTATCTTCAGGAAGGGAGACTTAACAGCCTCTTAGAGCTATATGCTTCAATGTTTGGCCACAATTGTGTGTTTTTTTTTTTTTTTTTTTTTTTGTTTTGAAGTTCGATGTCTAAGTGTAACTTTATGTACTGCAGTTTATGGCTGTTGCCTCTTATCCTGTCACTGGTTGCCACTAAGGAGAATCAGTCATATCAGGTTTAAAATTAATGAAATTTCTGGTTTTGTAATTTTTTTTTTAAGACTGTACCACAACAGCCTGAAATCCTTAAATCCTTTTATATATCATAGGTTGCATAGTTTGTAATAGGATGTATACAGTTTATTTAGATTATTTGTATTTTTCTGTAAATCTGGCTGTTAGAGTAGTTTTTCCTAACTATAGCTAAGGAAGGAAGTTGGACTTCAGCTGAAATTGCAGCAAATGCATGGAACAAAAACATTCCATTCCATTTTGTATAGGCTATAGAGCAGCTCTGCTCCTCCCAGAAAATTTTGTGACAGCAGTTAGCATCACATACTTCAGTCAGGACCTGAAAAGCAAAATGTCTGTTGTTGGGAGGGGAAAGGTGGTGGAGAGAACTTGTTTGGCATTGATGAAGGGATCTTCTCTCCTTTGAAACAGATATTTATTTCTGCTTGTTTGTAATTGTATTTGCTAATCTTGCAGAGTTCCTTGGAAATTGTCCTTTTCATTCATTCTTTCAAAGTCATACTGTAAAATACAGTGCATGTCTTACACAGTGAGGATGGCCAGAGATCAAAACAGAGAGCCAGAGAGTTTGTGGAATCTCCATTAGCAATTAAAACACGACTGAACAGTTCCTGTAGCAACCTGATCTTTCAGTCTGGACAGAGATACTTGTCTTATGTTCGTGGTTCATTTTGATGGTCATTATCAGTCTCAATCTTGTATTATGTCTACTTTTGAAATAGGAAAAATTCCATAGTATTAGTAGAAATCAGGAGAGTACTCAGTAGATAATACACAATCATGGTTCATCCCATAGAAAGCAACAAGAGGATGTTGGATTGATTCAGTCACAGTTAAATGTTGTTTTTCTTAACCAAAAAACTCAAGGAAGTGGGTAAAACGATAAAAAGAATTCATATGCTGGAGAGCTTTCACCAAGACCATGTAGACTTTGTGAAGTTATTTGCTAGTTTAGAATGCTTCATGGTTACATTTTGTTTGTATTTATTACATTTTTTAATGTAATGGTATGATTTCTATGACAACACTATTCAGCTAGAAAGAAGTAGCATAGAGACATGTCGTTATATTATGTGGTACATGTGTGTAGGTCAGTCATGTTTCGCAACTGTCTAAACTGAAGATGTTTATGTGCCAACTGTATTTAGATTAAATGTGAAAAAATGCAGATCAAATAAATGTGTACAATATGTGTACAAATGTATTATGAAATTGTACAATTACTCAGTAGATATTTTCCTTTCGAAAAGGGTCATCAGACTACAGCTGACTAACTATGATTCTAGAGCTTATTTGAAGTTACTTAAAAACCTTTTTTTCTGGAAGCAGAATTCCCTCGTGATAGCCATGTCCAAGCACATTAGAGAAATACACGTCAGTAAATTATAATGAAGATTATTCTAATCTATTCATTTAGAGGTTTCTTCTGGATTTCTTTTTCTTAGAACTAAAATAACTTTTAAAACTACATTCTATTTATTTCATGTGTTTTCATATATGTCTCTGTAAGTATATATGTACTAATATATATATATATGCTTGTTTGTTTGTTTTTAACAGAACCATCTCAGTGTTTTTTCAGTGGTTAATCCACTTGCTTCAAGTATAACTTCCAGTCTGGCCTCCAGTGTCGGATCAGATTGTTCATCTCCTCCAGCTGTCTCAGCTGTTAGTGCCAAAGCTCTCCCATTTTATTCTGGTGGTAACACAGTTGAGTCAGTTACAGGTAAGTCTTAACATTCAACCTCTGATTGTATGTGTTTTGTTGCATTATTCAATTCTCCTTATTTTAATGTAGGTTCAGAACAGGTTTTTGGTAAAGACAGTGATGTTGTACATTCTTTATTATATGTAATTAAAAGCAATATCTGAATGTTAATTTAAAAGATTTTCCCCAAAATCTTTATTTTTCACAACGTCTCTAATGTGAGCATAGGAATGAGTGAACAGGACATTTAAACTAACTTTGTCATTGGTAGTGGCCAACATAAACCCTTTGTAATGTAACTCAGTGTGTTCCTAAAAGTAATGTCTCCTCAACATCTGTTGATGGGCTGCTGAGATTGACTTTATTTATTTATTTATTTGTTTGTTTGTTTGTTTATTTATATGTATCTATTTATGTTTATATATATAAAGCACCTATCATCATATTCATAGAATCATAGAATATCCTGAGTTGGAAGGGACCCTTAAGGATCATCAAGTCCAACTCTTGACACCGCACAGGTCTACCCAAAAGTTCAGACCATGTGACTAAGCGCACAGTCCAATCTCTTCTTAAATTCAGTCAGGCTCGGTGCAGTGACCACTTCCCTGGGGAGCCTGTTCCAGTGTGCAACCACTCTCTCTGTGAAGAACTTCCTCCTGATGTCAAGCCTAAACTTCCCCTGCCTCAGCTTAACCCCGTTCCCGCGGGTCCTGTCGCTAGTGTTAATGGAGAAAAGGTCTCCTGCCTCTCGACACCCCCTTACGAGGAAGTTGTAGACTGCGATGAGGTCTCCCCTCAGCCTCCTCTTCTCCAGGCTGAACAGGCCCAGTGCCCTCAGCCGTTCCTCGTACGTCTTCCCCTCCAGGCCTTTCACCATCTTCGTAGCCCTCCTCTGGACACTCTCCAACAGTTTCATGTCCTTTTTATACTGTGGTGCCCAGAACTGCACACAGTACTCAAGGTGAGGCCGCACCAGCGCAGAGTAGAGCGGGACAATCACCTCCCTTGACCTACTAGCGATGCCGTGCTTGATGCACCCCAGGACACGGTTGGCCCTCCTGGCTGCCAGGGCACACTGCTGGCTCATATTGAACTTGCTGTCTACCACGACCCCCAGATCCCTCTCTTCTAGGCTGCTCTCCAGCGTCTCATCGCCCAGTCCGTACGTGCAGCCAAGGTTTCCCCGTCCCAGGTGCAGGACCCGGCACTTGCTCTTATTGAACTTCATGCGGTTAGCGATCGCCCAGCTCTCCAACCTATCCAGATCCCTCTGCAAGGCCTTTCCACCCTCATTCGAGTCCACAGCTCCTCCAAGTTTGGTGTCATCGGCAAACTTGCTCAAAATACCTTCTATTCCTACATCCAGATCGTTTATAAAAATATTGAAAAGTACCGGCCCTAAAATGGAGCCTTGAGGGACCCCACTAGTGACCGCCCGCCAGCCTGACGCAGCGCCATTCACCATAACCCTTTGGGCCCTGCCCGTTAGCCAATTGCTCACCCATCGCATGATGTTTTTATTTAGCTGTATGGTGGACATTTTGTCCAGTAGGATCCTATGGGAAACCGTGTCAAAAGCCTTGCTGAAGTCCAAAAAAATCACATCAGCTGGTTTCCCTTGGTCCACCATACGGGTGATCTTATCATAAAAGGAAATCAGGTTAGTTAGGCAGGACCTACCCTTCACAAACCCATGCTGGCTGGGACCAATGACTGCTTTGTCCCCCAGGTGCGCCTCAATACGTTCGAGAACCATCTTCTCCATGATTTTACCAGGCACTGACGTGAGACTGACAGGCCTGTAATTGCTAGGGTCTTCTTTCTGACCCTTCTTGAAAATCGGCACAACATTTGCCAGCTTCCAGTCTACCGGGACCTCTCCAGACTCCCAGGATCGTTGAAAAATAATTGAGAGAGGTTCCGCGATGACGTCTGCCAGCTCTTTCAGCACCCGGGGATGAATCCCATCCGGACCCATGGACTTGTAGGGATCCAGGTGGAGTAGCAAATCCCGCACACGTTCAGGGTCGGTTGGGAGTTTGTCATCCCCACCGTCCTGGTCCTCCAGCTCAGGGCACCCTGGGTCCCAAAGCCCATCATCGGCATTGAAGACAGAGGCAAAGAAGATGTTAAGCGTCTCTGCTTTGCCTATGTCATCGTCTGTGAGAAGACCTTCCCTATCAAGGAGCGGCCCTATGTATTCTTTAGTTCTCCTTTTTCCATTCACATATCTAAAAAAACCCTTTTTATTTTCTCTCACAGACACAGCCAGCTTCAACTCTAGGTGTGCTTTAGCCACACGAATTTTCTTCCTACAAACACGAACAGCATCCCTGTATTCTTTCCATGTCACCCGGCCCTCCTTCCAGTAGCGAAACACTCTCTGTTTCTGCCTAATCTCCATAAGAATGTTCCTGGTCAGCCACGCCGGCCTCCTGCCGCGCCTGCCTGACTTGCGGTATTTAGGAATTGCCTGTTCTTGTGCTTCTAGGAGGCATCGCTTAAAGAGTGACCAGCACTGGTGGACATCAAGGCCTTCAAGAGCAGCTTCCCAGGGGACCTTGCTGACTAGTTCCCCGAGCAGCCTGAAGTCCGCCTTCCCCATATCTAGGGATGAGGTTTTGGTGGCACTTTTCCTTCTGTCATCGTAAATTTTGAACTCAACCACTTCATGGTCGCTATGACCGAGGCGGCCACCAATCACCACATCTCCCACCAGACCCTCTCTGTTTTCCAGCAACAGGTCAAGGAGGGCGCCTTTCCTAGTTGGCTCCGTTAGCACCTGCACCAAGAAGTTATCATCTAGGTGCTTCATGAACCTCCTGGACTTGCTCGTGTCAGCCGTGTGGCACTCCCAGTTAACGTCTGGCAAGTTGTCCCCCATAAGGACAAGGGGAGTTAATCTCGAGGCCTCTCTTAGTTCTGTAAAGAATAAGTTATCGGCGCTATCGTCCTGGCCAGGCGGTCTGTAATAGACTCCCACAACGAGATCCCCTTTATTCGTTTGTCCCTTGATCCTTACCCAGAGGCTCTCAATTTTGCCATCTCCGACCTGGAGTTCCACACAGTCCAGCCCCTGCTTCACATACATCGCCACCCCACCACCTCGCCTACCCTGCCTGTCCCTCCTGAAGAGCCTGTAACCATCTATCGCAACACCCCAGTCACAGGACTCATCCCACCAGGTTTCGCTTATGCCGATGATGTCGTAGTTGCGGGACTGGGCCAGGACTTCTAGCTCATCCATTTTATTCCTCATACTGCGTGCGTTCGTGTAGAAGCATTTCAGGTGCGTCTCCTTACACTCAGCACCTTGTGGATCTAACCGAAGGACCTCACTGGCACACAGCCCCTCTGATTCTAGCGTACTTATGTCTTCACCGGCGTGCCTGGTTTTAGCCCCTTCCCCCTTCGACTCTAGTTTAAAGCCCTATCTATCAGCCCTGCCAACTCCTGACCAAAGATCCTTACCCCTCTCCGAGAGAGGCCCATCCCATCCGGTGCCATCAGGCCCGGCGTAGCATAGACCTTCCCGTGGTCAAAGAACCCAAAGTTCTGCCGGTCACACCAGTCTCGAAGACACGAGTTTATGCAAACAGCACACCTTTCAGCTTCGATCCCCCCTATCGGAAGGACAGAGGCAAACACAACCTGCGCGCCTGAACCTCTAAGTTGTCACCCCAAATCCCTAAAGTCTCTTTTGATCGCCTCCGGACTTCTCTTTGCTACTTCATCGCTACCAGCCTGAAAGACCAGTAGCGGGTAGTAGTCAGTGGGCTGTACCAGGCGCTTGACTTTCTTGGCAACGTCCCTGACCCTGGCCCCAGGGAGGCAGCAGACTTCCCTATGGGTAGGGTCAGGCCGACAAATAGGGCCCTCTGTTCCCCTAAGGACAGAGTCTCCCACAACAATCACCCTCCTGTCTTTCTTGGTGGAGGCAGTCCTGATGCGTGGAGTCGACCTCCTCGCCCTAGGCATCCTCCTGGGTACACTTTCTATCTCTTCCTCAGTTGCTGGTCTCTCAGTCTCCAGGGCCTCAAACCTGTTCTGTAAGGGCACCTGGGAAGGTGGGGCCGGAAGGGGAGGGCATCGCCTGCCATGTCGAGCAGGGACCGGAATATTGATAAACACTTTTTGGAACCACTCTGATGACAGGGGTAAGAACAGGAGTTGGCCTATTAGTACCTCTGCACTTCTGTTCCCAACAAATTAAAAAAAAAATAAAACCACAATACTTTGCTGACAGCCTGTCTGTCTGGTGTTTAATAGTGCTACTCTATCAGGGTTGGAGGGACGCCTATTATGAGTGGCAACAGTTTGCACTGTGACACCTCCAGCTGTGTGGCAGAACAGTGCAGGCGTCACAGAAGGGCAGTGGGATGTGAAGGCTCAGACCCATTACCAGTCAAAACATACCAGCAACATTGAGCTCCTATTAGGAGAGCGCAAGCTAACTTTGCACACAGAGCATGCTGTCTCTGTGCTTGAGGCTGAATCAGTGAACCTTCTGGACTGTTCCAAGTTTCAGAAGATCACCAGACAGAAATGCATGTCAGTTAAATGTATCATGTCAGTGGGGGATGGGTGACAAGGGGGACTGTAGGCTCAATTTTAGAATGGGTACAGGGAAGAGAGAAAGAAAGAAGACATCTTAAATTTCCAGTTCTGCAAACAACAGCCCTTGATTTCTGGGTACCCAGGACAGGTTCAGGAAATACTCAATTCCAAAATCTGTGTCCTTAACCCAGAGCCTTTCCCTTGTTTGCAACCAGCTAGGTTTTTATGGTCTTATGGCTTTTTATGTGGAAAATGGTAAAAGGGTATAAAATATTTGAGTAATAGACACTGATTTTCTATCCAAGTTCGTAATAGCAGAGGGAAGAACTTCAACAGTACCTTCATGCAGTCGGTGTTAGGCAATTGTATCACGTTATCCTGTTCTGTTCATTGTCACCAGAGAATGGAGATAATTAGGTATACTCAAGTGTTTAGACATAAGTACGTTATCACTCCAA